GACATTAATGCAGTGTAATGATTGAGAATTGAAATGTGTAAGTGTACCTGCATCAGAGTTTAGTTTTGTATTTCGTTGTTTCAATTCTCAACCATAACATGGCATTGATACACTTTTTCTCCATTTACTTTCCTTATCCGTAAAAGGAAAACACAGAAGCAAATGTCTGATTAATTTCTTTATGTGAATAGTCAAATGCTATATTTGATGTTGTTGTTTAAATGTACTATCTGAATATGTGATCATAGAATGCAGAAAAGTATCCAAGCAATTAAACATCAAAAGAAGAATTATCCTAAATTGCGAGGAATCTGTTCCAGCAATAAATAAATAAATAAATTTAGGGACCCCTGCATTGAATACAGTAGGGCAATCAATATTTAAAGACTGATCTGTTTTTTCAGTTAATAGAAATGATATTTGACATCTGCAGGCAGGGTCCAATGTGTTATATGATTACATTGCCACGTAAATTGTTGCATAATTGTGGATTATTTTTAAATGGCCACATAATTGTTTTCCAGAATCTAAAGCTTTCATTTGTCTATAACCCTCATGTTTATAGGGAAACCTTAAAAACATAAGCTGAGTGTAACTGATGCGATGTTTTCTGAGTTTGCCAAGAGCCTAAAACAAAGGTCTGGGAGGTATGAACTTCATTGTTCATCTCTTGGATGTGAACACTGAAGTCTGTTGACGGTTTAAATTACCATTTTATCAGAAATCGTTAACTAATATGCTTATTTGTCATTGTTGGATGTAGTGGCAAATATTGGGGAAGGATGCAGTGGAGCAGCTAGTTGCTACCAAGGATTATTACTCTCCCACTTCCAAAATTAAAAACACCTCTGCCCTTCCCCTAAATGGAGGGGAGGGTACACCGTTCATCCCCTTCCAAGTACCAAAAGCCTTGACTACTTCCTGGGTACCAAATACAAATTTCAGACCTTCCTGGGTACCAAAAGCCTTAATGACCCCCTCCCCAGTTTCCAAAAAACTCCTGCGTTTCCCTGCCAATTACTACAGTACAGTTACTTTGTCTGTACAACAATCTGCAGCACACTGAAAACCTAAAAACTGAGAGGAAGGGGATTGAGGTAACAGTATTGTGTCATGTTGGTTATCTTGCCATGTGACTTCAGGGATGTTGCTGCTGCTTGGAATACAGCTTGTAAGGAATTTAATTCAAAAGGAAAAGACAAAATAAAGTTTTAATTGTGGGTAAAGTAAATGTGTATATATAAACAAAATATTGAATACTTGTATTCATTGATGTGTAATATATATAATATGTAATACTATAGAGAAAATTGGGATTCTAACATCTTAAATTGAAACTCTGTGACGGGAAAGGTAAGTTAGTAGTGAATGCTTTTAATTTTCCTAAGAGTCCTATTTAAAATAAAAAAAGGGGGGGGGGGGGAGTGGGTACAGGATGGTTGACCCTGCTGGAATCTTACTAGGGACATATACTACTCTTGTGCAGTTCACATTGGTATTGGTGGCATTTCTGTGTGTACTTGACGGACAGTAGTCTACGACCCTACAGAAATTATTGGTGCAGACTTTGTCAGAATAGAATAGGAATAAGGAATAGTTAAGATTTAAAATTCTTAACAGGTAGAAAGTGGTATTAGTTGTTTGCCTGGTATCTCTTAGTTACCTGTTTCATTTTAAGTGGTCTGTTACTGCATTTGTGAACCCCTTATGCTTAACAATTTGTCCCAACTTGTATTTAGCTTAGACACTCTGGTTACATTCCCCAGACCTGAAGAAGAGCTCTATGAAGCTTGAAAGCTTGTACCTTCCACCAGCAGAAGTTGGTCCAATAAAAGATATTACCTCACCTACCATGTCTCTTTCAGTAAAAATAAACACAATCAGCCTTTAAAGCCATGGGGGTGGTATAATTTGTGGTAAGAGAGAGAAGTTTGCAGTTGAGCTTCTGTCAAAACATACATTAAAATCTACTTTGCTAAATTTAACTTATGTTTGTCCTTTTAGAAGGGAGGAGTAACTTTTGTGGTCGAAACAGTTTATAGATGCTTATATAATAGGTTTATGGGGAAAATAATGACATAACCTAACACCATCTAGTGATCTTCGTTCTTGTGTGTGTAGCAGATTTCAGTTTCAGTACAGTTTCCCTAATTTCAAAATCTGAAGACAAGGTAACATGTATGGGCTAATTTAAAATTCTGTCTTGTGTAAACCCCCCCCCCCCATTAAAAAAAAATCACACCATGATCCGTGGAATGGAAGACTGTGATTTTCTAATTCCAAGTGTTCAAATGCTTATTGATACAGTATTTTTATAAGTAGGGATGTATGAATCTTTGATTTTAAATACAAATCCAGACATCTTAAAATATGAATGAATCAAACATTGATCTATAGAACAGAGTAAGTCTGAATCGCCACAGTCCAAGGACATTGCAGCTGATGCGTGGACCTAGAGTAGTATAACTCGGATGTTCCTCAGCCTAACTTCTACTTGTATTGGTAGTAAGTTTACAGACAAGCCTTTATGTGACACTGTACTGTTTTGACAGCAAGCACACAGGCACTACTATTTCTGATAACTTTAAAAATATGCTAGAGGCATTGTAGGTGGCAAAAACCGGCAGCCGTGTTCATTATGGAAACACTGTTAACATTAAAACAAAAACAAAAAAAGCTTTCAGCAATTGTAATATTTATAGAATGAGCTGTTTGTACACACCCTGTAACTGTGCATTCATGATGATGATTTATTGAAAACTGATCAGTACACGGTGGTGGTTGCATTACTCCATTACACTCTCCAAAATCTATGACAAACAGAGGGATATAGGATTGTCTATAGATTATTTGTTCAGGAGATGGTCAGAAAATATAAACCTGCCTTGATTGGAAAAGTACTCACCTTGTAATTCTCTGAAGATCTCAGCAGCATTTGTCATGTAGAAAACTCCGCAAGTTCTTACGATTTTTTTATCCTCAAAGAGCATGTATAGTCTGGCATGTGTGCTCTGCCCTACTCAGCATGGTCTAACAATAAGTATTTCAGGGGTTCCAGAACATTCTCCCCATATCTTTTAAGAGCAGGAAGCAAGAGCTCCGCCCTAACCTTCTAATTACACCAAGATTGCAAAAAATATTTCTTCAAAGTGACTAACATCAAAGCTCAGAAATGGGCAAATGAGTAAGCACTCCTACAGAGGGTAAACATATTCCTTTCTATTCAAAAACCACCAAACTCTTGAAGGGAGGCATATGGGTGTGTGTGAAGTAAGATACAATCCTCAAAAAATCAGAATGACAAACAGGTAGAGAAAAGAGCAGGGGAGAAAAAAGCATATCCTAGAAAATATCACATATGACCACTTAATGGCTTGTAGGATGTGTCCCAAGAAATGAATTTACTTTGTGATTCTCTAGCTTCACACGAATCAGGTCATTCTAATATGTAGTCAGACAGCCACACAGACATGATCCTTGTGGGAAAACCTTGAGTAGGGCACTGATGTCAAATGAAACTAGAAAGTTGAATGGACTTCTTACACTCGCTCATTGAGCCAAAATGACTTTACACAAGAGAAAGTATTGAGATACCTGGAATACAGTGGCTCAAAATGGGCATTTTTTAATTTGCTCTTTACTCCATGAAGACTCCAAGCCATGGGCGACTTTAATAAGGAGTTGAAGTGTCAAACCCTGTAAAGAGCCTGACCTCCTAAAGGTTGGGGAGACATTGATCTACTTTTGTGTTCTCCAAGAGCCCCCAAATGTATCTATGGTAGGAAGAGAGGTTAGTGGTAGTCTGAGACCGAGTAAAGAAAATAGTCCATGTCTAGGTTAATAAGTGATACATCTGGGCCCATTTGTACCGCATTAGAAATTTGCTATAAAAATTCTTCCATGTTAGGGCTTGTAGAAAGCAGTCAGGTTTGACCACTTGCATAAAGACACTATGCTTGCAGAGTTCTGCCCTGTCAAGAGCCACACTGAAATAGGGGGAGAACAGATACTAACATTATGACATCCTTGTAAAGTAGATAGAATTTATCTCCCACATTACAGCGGGCAGATTGAGACAGAGAGTTAAGCAACCTGCCCCAAGCCAGTACATCCAGGGAATAGAGTTGGGAATATAACTCAGACAGTCCTGGCCCTCAGCCCTGTACTTAATGCTGCCCTTTCCCAACAATTTTTATCTACAAGAAGTGCTATACTTATGTAATTGTATTAATCCTTTTTCATAGTGAACACAAAAGTAAGCTATGCAGTTTATTTTTATTTTAAAATTATTGTATATACACCTTATGTATCTTTTCAGTTTATACAGCATTTTAAATTAAATTGTTCACTTAGTGCGTAGTATTCAAAACTTAGTGAAAGCCACACAAGACATTAAATGGATAGCTAAATAGCGTTACTTAAAGCATATTTTAATTACAAATATACTTCTAACTTTTATAAAGCGGCTTTTACTGATTTTCAAAATATTGTCTTATCTGACTTTTCCTATTAAGTCTTTGAATACAATTGGCTAGCATTTGGGATCCATTAAAAAAAAAAAAGGCAGATTCATCATATCCCTAATTGTTTCTTTACTGGTAAAATGCTCAATTTTGAATATTTTTGCTATGTTAATAATATATTTCTTGGCTATTTAAAAAGCTTTGCGTCACTTGCATAATTGTGTGTGTCAGTGACTGAGAAGCAAAAACTTATTTCAAATTGGGGGGGAACCTCAGGGGGAAGATTTTCAAAGTCTCTAAGGTATTTAGGAGCATATGATCAGTGAGACTTCTGCTGCTAAGTCACTTGTGATTTTGAAAGTAGTCCCTAAATTCTAGCTTAACTCTTGGTATCTGTTCTTCAAATATATCTTTTGTATTGATTAAATATATGACTGAAATGGTTTTAAAGCAGGATTGTGTTAGCATACTTCTATGTTGAATGGAAAATGTATATATACATATGTGCAATATTATTCTGCTTTCTTCCACGTAAAGGGTGAAATCAAAATTGCTGTTTCTATTGAAGACGAAGCCAACAAAGACCTGCCTCCTGCTGCTCTGCTTTATAGGCCAGTTCGTCAGTATGTTTACGGAGTCCTGTTTAGTTTGGCAGAAAGCAGAAAGAAAACTGAAAGACTTGCTTTTAGAAAGAACAGACTTCCACCAGAATGTATGTACTCTAGCCATCATTTTTCTCTTCAAAACTCCATAATCTTATGCACATTTTCAGCATGATCAAAACTTAGAGTAATTATTAGGCTTTCATGAATGTCACTGAGATAAAATTTTAATGTTCTGTCAAAAATGGGTCCTTATAAATCAATTACTTTATAATCTTTTTTCTTACTATATTTATTTCCTTTAATTATTTAATGAATATAAATGATAGGAGTCAGTAAGCAAAATTGGAGGTTTATAGTTGGAAAACTAACATGAAAAAAATGTACAGTCTGCCTACTGCCTGACTTTTTCTGAATAGTCTGTCATTTTTGGTCCTGGTATGCTCTTTAGATTCAAAGTATTATGTTAGGACTTGAATGTAAGAAATTTCTCTTCCTCTTTCACACAAATATTAAAATAGTTTTCACAGAAATGTTAAATGCATATGTCAAATGAATATGTCAGCTTTCCCTGTTTTTCCCCTCTGCGTTTCCAGAATACACTGTCTAGTATATTTCCGCTGAATTTAGTTTTGTTTCTTTTTAGCTTGCAAATGTTGACACATGAAAATTTAATTTTTATTACACTGTAGTTTGCTTAGGCTTCAGGTATAACAACTTGGTCATAAACCAACTAACAATTTAAAAACTACACTTTTTGTGAGCAGATTTGTTACAGGGGCTGTTTGCTAATGCAGTTAAAAGCATGAGTGCTAGTGCTCACTTTAATCAGATATACACATTTTCAAATCTGTAGTTGCCAGTTATTCATTTCATTTGAGAAAATCCCAGTTTATATGTGGAATGGTTTTCTTAATGTCAAACACATACCAAAAAGTGGTTGAACCTCTGTAACAAGATCTTGGGAAGGTTAGGGAAAAGCAAAGTATTAAATAGATGATTGTCAACAGGAGAAAAGGTAACATATTTATTTGTAGGATTCTGCTGTCAGTAGACTAAATTTAAAAAGCAAATATTTAGACTTGTTTGCTGTGAAGATGTCCTTTGCAATTTTCATGTCTAAGGCTACATACAGTAATCATTTGTATGAATTATTTTCATTTACACCTCTCCCTCCCACCAATTTTTAGTTGGAACAAGCTATTGTGAAATATTTTGTGACTCGTATAGGCAGGAGGAGAATGTTTCACTGAGATTCAAAAGTCCTAAAGTAAGAAATAGTTTGAAATAAGTAGTCAGATTACCCCTTTTGTGAGTCTTTTTTTTTTTTTTTAATCCGCCTTTCTCAAACAGAATAATTTCCAAACCCACAAGTTCACACACATAGATTCTAAACACACTTGTGTTTAACAGAGTTTTAGGAGATTGGCTTTGAAATAATAAAGTTCTTTGCAATGTTCATTGTTGCTGACTTGGATTACTGTCCTTGAAGCTGCTGTATAGATTTACTTACAGTTTTATGCACCTAAATAGCTAAAGTGCTTAAAGCTGTAAGTGCTGAAACCCTTAACTATCTTAGCTTTATTCAGGTTTCCTTTTTTCTCTTGAAAAACTGCAGAGTTCCCTAGAGTTTTTGAGCTACCTCGCTGGGCCCCCCCTCTTCCCTCCCTTAGTTTATACTGCCCTTCAGACTTTCCTTAGACTGTGGAGGCAGAAGTTGCTGCTGACTTAGCTCTCACTATCCTTTGGTGTTCCTAATGAGGGTGGTGCTGCTAACAAGGAAATAGGGGTACCAACTCTCCCTTTTGGTTTCCTTAAACTTTTATGTTTCTAGAAGTAAAATGTCTTCTATTTCAGCCAGTTAAACATTTATTGACTTGCTTTAAATTTCTGAATCACTTCTATTGGCTACAGTCATTTGCTTCTATGAGTAGAAAACTCCTAGCAGAGGCTCTCTTTTTCTTTTAATGTAGGAAATTCTCATGTGATGATGTCTGTTTATTGCAGTAGTATCCCAGCGCCCCGGTTGTGGTTCTTATTGTGCTAGGTGCAGAACCTGTAATTAAGACACAGAACTTGAGTTCAAGAGAAGTTCAGTTTTCTGCTCTGCCCAAGCATGTTGGTGCAAATAAGGATTATTTTTTTACTAATATAAGTAAGAAATACAGTGGATTCTGCTTAATAGCAATCCTGATATTAATGACTTCCGGTTAATAGCAGCATTTTGCCAGGAACCAGTCCTGCCCTATTTACTTTAATAATATTCGGATATTGGCAACAGGTTTGTAGCGTATGACAACTTTTTGACATGCCTTTCTTGCCTGCAACACTGCAAACCTGCCTGCAGCTGGGAGGGGAGGCTGCAGACAGGGCAGCAGCAGGAAGGGGAGGGCTGCAGCCTGGATACTGGTGGCTCTCCTTGGGGAGTAGGGATGCTGGGGGCCTTCAGGACTGCATGGTACCTCTGTGCTTTCCAGGCTGTGCCCTATTCTGGCACCAGGGGCCTGATCTCAGCATGTCCCAGTGCTTCTTTCCCTGGCTGCAGTCCCATAAACCTGCTTGTGGGGCTGCACCTAGGGAAGGAAGAGCTGAGAAGTGCTGAGCACCAACTGCAGACAGGTTTGTGGGGCTGAAGGGAGAGGTACCGAGCACGTTCTCTTCCTTGGCTGCAGCCCTGCAAATTGTCCACTTATTTGCAGCCTCCAGATAATAGCTTCTTTTTGCTGGGAACCGAGAGGTTGCTAATAAGTAGAATTTATTATAATGTTAATAAGAACCTGCAGTTTCTGAAGAGCTTAGAATCTAAAAAGACAAAAATTAAAGGATAGAGGCAAGAGATAAAACATACAAGCAAAGTGCTCAGGGTTTTGATGGTTACGTGCTAATTTCTTGTATGTTTTTTCAATTTAAAGTATTTTTATTTCTTTATTTTTTATTATGGTGGCCAGGGGTATGGCAAAATGGGATGAGTAAAGAAGATCAAGCCATTTTATCAGAAAGCGGAAGGTGAGGAGAAGAGGGAGGGAAGGGACAGAGATCAAGGAGACCACAGAGAGTTAGTTAAATTACATTTAAGGTGCCCTATACATCTAAAACATGCAGCATTAAAAAATGAACTGTTAAAAAGTATGGAAACAAACAGCTAAGGCAGCCTGGTATGGCCTTTGATCTCCAGTCTCCAACTCCAGCCTGACTCTGACCCTGACTCTTGCTTATGGGACCTGGCTCTTGCAATTCCTCCAACTCCTGCTCGGTGACTACCATCCCTAGTGTGCAGACCTCAGCCCAGCTGTGACTGCTAGGCCAGACTGCCTATGCCCTGGTCCCTTACAGTATGGGTGCTCCACTTCAGGGCACATGTGCTTTTGGAGATTTTTGCCAGCAGTGTCTGATTGGTCCACAAATGCAGCTTGATTATCCTTGTACCCCTTACTGAGGAGATATAGGGGCAGTGCCTCACCACCTAGGCCTGAAACAGGGCTTTAGTGTCCTGCAGCATCCACTTTAGGTAGCTTGTTTATTTACATGCTAAATACTTAGATGAATAGATAGTGTTAGTTTAGTGCTTAGTGTAGTGATTAGTTTTGTTTGTATAGTTAGTGTAAATAGCTTTAGAGAAAATTTATTGGAACATAGGGTTTATTTCCCCCATGTCTTCTCAATTCCCTAGTCAGAACGGGGAGTTTAATTTTCTAGGTTTACTGTTTTCTTGATGGGAATGCCTAAATCTCCTTGCTTTGTCATGTGATGTCTGCAGGGATGCTATTCCCTTGAATGACAACCACATAAGTTTTCTCTGTTGTTTAGAAGAAGTTCATGTTCTTTTAAGTTTAATATTTGTAGATCATTTGGCAGGATAACTAAAAAGATCAGAGAAACCAAATTAGAAATGTTTCTCATAGATTCATCTGTGTGGGTCTCTTCAGGTCCAGAGCCTCGAACCACATTTGTATAAGGAAATGCAGAAATTCAGAGTACTCTGAGTTTCTGTGACTCCCAGGACCCATGCAACCAGTAGGATGGTGCAAGGAGATCATATTGAAGTCGTGTTACAACACCTTCTAAACATAGGAGCCGACCTCGATCACCTCAAAAAGAAGTGGGCAATAAGAGGCTGAAATTGCCTGAAGAAGTCACTGCTATGGAGACTTCATGTCCTGATAAAGACATTGCTAAGGCTCTAGGAGATTTCAGTACTGGTGCTTGGTTACTGATCAGGAAAATCACTACTTTAGCACCTAGTGTTAAAAATCCGTCGGTGCACAGGCTGAGATGGTACTGACATTGAAGCCTGGCTCTATTAGCTTAGTACTGAGTAAACTTTTAACAAAGAGTAGACTCACTGCCTCTACTAAGCCTATGGTACTGAGTGTATTTGCAATGCCTAGCAAGTAAGTGGTACTGGCTGTGACTTCTCTAAATAAGTGTGCAGTGCTGATGAGGCTGTGGAGGGCCATTTGGTGCCATGTAAGTCTATGGCTCCTCTGGTACCAACAGTGGCTCGTAGGGGAGTAGGGTCCAAGTTGCCTTCTCTCTTTTCGTCACCTGTACTGAGTAGATTTATGTTGTCTAAAGACTTAGTAATTTCAGAAGAACCAGAGTCCTCTCTACTAGCAGAGGATATAGATGTTTTGGTGCTGGACACAAGATTGTCTCCAGTACCATCTTACTCTGCTTTACTCTCCGGATCTAGAGTTCTGTCTCCAGTCACTCTACCATCTTTTGCTCTCTCATTTGAATCTGATGTTTATTCATCAGATTCTTACCTATGTGTGAAGAACTCAGATTACTCTTCCAGGGCTTCCTCCCCAAAGTTCCACTTAGATAGGGATCTACAACATCTAGACAGGACAGATACATAATATCACCCTCAAATGACCTGGTACCAGTCACCTTGTCCTCAGCCATATCCATATGGGGCACATCAGGCTGTTGTGGAATTCATGAGATAATGAGTATTATCTGAGAATAATCAGGGATTCTGAGACAGTGAATCTGTGGAGGCAGCCAGCTCTACCATAAGATCCTCTGCATCAGTCTCAACAGCCATTTGAGGAGGAACAACAGACTGAAGAGGGAATTTTAGTACCAGCAAATATATCTTCCTTGC